ATATATATATATATATATATATATATATATATATTTAGTTTATGAAAAACTAGGTAATCCTAAACCCAAGGAGGATAAAATCCAGAGAGCTCAATGTAAATCTGGAGCAAATAATTTAAATAAAAACAGACCACTTTAAGGTTCCATGTAATAAATTATTTCACCACACCCCTTTTAAAGGACTGCGGATCATCAGACTTTACTTGCAAAGATTGAAACAAAAATATATATATATGAATTCTTAAAGAAACTATTTGTACAAGGAATTAAATAACAATGTTAATGTGATTAATGGTGAAATCACGTCTCTAACAGCACAAATTATACATTAACTTACTCTCAATTCCTTGAATAATAAGATCCTTATATTCAAGTTGTCAAATGGAAGACGCCTGCCAAGTACTTTCGACAAAAGCAAATTGTCATCCTCGGGGCGACAATTTCCCATATATATGCCGACACTACGACGAAATATATGTAGAGGGAAAGCTGATTGTTTTAAAAAAAATATACTATATATTGACAGTTGAATATATGTTTTCAAGCGTGCGATGTCGCAATGCTAGTGTGCTTATTCAAATCGATGAATTGAGAATTTTCTTTGAATTTTGAAAAGATATAAATCTATGAAATTTTCTTGTTATATGAATTTATCTTTTTAAAGTGAAATGGACTTAGTATAATCCAATATAACGATTTTACTATTCAAGGAATTGATAATAAGTTAATGTCTCATAGAGTTCTGTTAGCGAAGTGAATTCGCCATTAATCACATTAACATTTCTATTTAATTCTTTATATAAATTATTTCTTTATGATATAAAATATAAGCTGCACACTGTAACATATATATATATATATATATATATATATATGTGTGTGTGTGTGTGTGTGCGTGTGGATTTTTACCATTTTCTTGGAAATACCAGGTGAAACCAGAATATTCTCCTTTGTTCACACCGTCTGTTTATTCGACGTAAATAGCAAGAATCACTTTCTCTGGGTGTGCGAATGTGACAGTTGCCATCACAATAGACACCTCTTTCTGCCGGCTCGTCATCATTTCTCAGCTCACCGAACGAGGTACCATATAGCCTCTGGTCTGTTTTGTTCTCATGTCAACTGGTGGCTCTGTAATAGAATGTTAAATAAGAATATATCTTCTATATCTCCTCCCTTCACTCAGTTTCAGGTTTCAAAAGCTTCTGCTGATAAACATAATATTTTGTTCGTAAATTCTCTTCGAATTATACTCTTAACTCATTTGTAATATCTCTGCCTGAATTTCCATTTTGAATTGAGTCTATATTTTATTTTATCTATTCTTTTGTTAATAGTGACATATCAGACCCATCTTCCTGATAGATCCTCATTGAGATAAATCAATACAGTCAACAAAAATTATTTGAAACGGAATTTTCTTAAATTTGAGATCATTTGAGCGACAATTGGGTTTATTATTACAATACATAATAATATTAATTTGGGGGGGCACGTTCTCTCTCTCTATATATATATATCCATTCAACTAAGACATATATATATATATATATATATATATATATATATATATATATATATATATATATATATGTCTTAGTTGAATGGATATGAGTTTACATTCCACTAAATATGTTAGATCCATCACTAGTATTGAACGCTTTCCAATAAGCACGGCACATATATAAAATATATATATAGAATTTATATATATATATATATTATACACACACACAAAAAAACACGCACGCACACACACACACACACACACACACACATATATATATATAGGTAGCAAATTCTCTTTTATGCATGTTTGATTGAATAAATTACAAACATCATGTGTGCTTATTTCTATCATAATCCTTTCATATTCACGAATATTTCTATTGTAATACACGGAAAAATATTCCTCAATATGAAAGGATTAAGATAAAAATAAGCAGGTATAGTGTATGTAATTTATTCAATCAGACATATATATATATATATATATATATATATATATATATATATATATATATGTGTGTGTGTGTGTGTGTGTGTGTGCGTGTGTTTATATCGGACTTATTATCTATCTATCTGACTGCTTGACTTAAGATTTGTCTCACTTTATTTTTTGTGAATAGTGATTTCGACTTTTCAACTCCTACCTGACAATCGATTTAATCTAATGCCAGGTCTTAATCCTCTTGTTGTCGGCCACCTTTACTATACATCGAGCGCTTTTATCTAATGTCCAATACATCACCAGCAGTTGAACTTTCTTCTCCATTTTAAAGCTGAGTCCCCGAAAATGGAATTTGTTTCCTCCACCGGACTTCGTAGTCAAGACGACTCATGAAAAAAATGAAATAATAAAGAAAACGGACATAGAAACACTAAAGTTGGTGTCCAAACGCAAAGTAAGTCCACCAAGCAATGCCCACTCCCCGACATTACTTATTTGATCTTCCATCACAGATACACCATATTTACATCGTATCCACATTTGAAAGTTTGAACTAATAAAAATATGTTTGAATAAAAAATAAAATTTATTAATTTTTTTATATATATATATATATATATATATATATATATATATATATATATATATACTAGCAGTAGAGCCCGGCGTTGCCCGGGGATGTAACAATAAGAGATAGATCAAGTATCAACCATCATAAAGACTGTAAAATAAAATTGATAAAGATTATTGTTTAAGGTTGACGGACACGCATGTCTTAATTAGTTTTTTTTTTGTTTTGTTTTTTACGAATTGGTAAAACGCAAATTCAAACAAAAACATTGTTTACAATCGTTATGAGTCTATGGATTGAATAGAATTTTATTATAAACAATTGTCTTGTAAATGGAATTTTTAAAGCATTCTGAATGTAAAAATAAAGAAAAAAAGTGTGCAAGACAATAAGAAACACTACCTGCCAAAAAAGTGAAGTTTTGTTGAAATCGGTTGAAAAATGTAGGAAATCTGATACCATATATAAACGAACAACACACACACACACACACACACACACACACACACACAGACAAACAACCTGGGTTTTATAATAAGTATAACTCGATATGAGTTGTCCCTCTTTCATACTCGCGATGCCTCTTAATCGTGTTTTCAAATTGATTTTGTGAAAAAACCAATTGTGTTTTTCCAATTTTTGGCGCTGTCAGAACCACTGCAAGGTCCTGTGAAGTTTTGTTGAAATCGGTTGAAAAATGTAGGAAATCCGATCCAATATATAAACGTACAGACACACACACACAACCTGGGTTTTATAATAAGTATGATGTATATAAATTTAACATTATTGTAATAGAAAGTTAAATATCCCTTCACTCAGTTTCAGGTTTCAAAAGCTTCTGCTGATAAACATAATATTTTGCTCGTAAATTCTCTTCGAATTCTGCTCTTAACTCATTTGTAATAACTCTGCGATGCCCACTCCCACATTACTTGTTTGATCTTCCATCTTGGATGCTACACATTTGCATTGTATCCACATAAAATAAAGTTTGAAGTAATAAAAAATTTATATATAGTACACAGATGATATCCCAATCAATAATTACTTTTCAATTCAGCAGTAGCATGATACAATAATTATTCAGTGATATAGAAAAGTATTATATGATATATCACAACATTATAGACCAATTTAAATCTGTTCGCGATTATTATTTTAGTAATTATTTACCGAGCGTGTTATTTTAAACATTTATCACTCTGAACTTCTGTCACGGAACCCTAGGAACTCTTTTGCGAACCCCTGGGTTACTTGGAACCCACTTTGGGGACCTCTGCTCTAGGTCAATTGCCGATATGTTACTGGTTATTGCCGAATAAGTCTATCAATATTAGGGCTGTGGCTTTAGATATCTTGAAGGTATTTGACAGATTTGGTTATTCAGTAACCTTTTCTAAGTTACAACACTATCTATCTATCTATCGATGTCAATCTGTACATCGATAGATAGGCAGATAGATAGACAGATAGATCGATATCAATAGATTCTGTCTATCAATATATCTATATATCTCAATCTATCAATCTATCTATCTATCTATCTATCTATCTATCTATCTATCTATCTATGTCAGTCTGTACATCGATAGATAGCCCTATAGATAGACAGATAGATAGATCGATATTGATAGATTCTGTCTATCAATATATCTATATATATTTCAGTCTGTTCAGTCTATCTATCTATCTATGTCAGTCTGTACATCGATAGATAGACAGATAGATAGATCGATATTGATAGATTCTGTCTATCAATATATCTATATATCTCAGTCTGGTCATTCTATCTATCTATCTATCTATCTATGTCTGTCTGTACATCGATAGATAGACAGATAGATAGATCGATATTGATAGATTATGTCTATCAATATATCTATATATCTCAGTCTGTTCAGTCTATCTATCTATCTATCTATCTATCTATGTCTCTCTGTACATCGAAAAGATACACAGATAGATACATCGATATTGATAGATTATGTCTATCAATATATATATATATATATATATATATATATATATATATATATATATCAGTCTGTTCATTCTATCTATCTATCTATTCTATCTATCTATCTATCTATCTATCTATGTCTGTACATCGATAGATAGACAGATAGATAGATGGATATTTATAGATTCTGTCTATGAATATATCTATATATCTCAGTCTGGTCATTCTATCTATCTATGTATCTATCTATCTATCTATCTATCTGAGTCTGTACATCTATCTATCTCAGACTACCTAAATAAAATATGTAATAGAAAGAGTTATATACCGTACCTATGAACACTAATGGGTATGTCCCAATCCTCATAAATACGTTGAACACTATCATAAGTGGAGTTAATATGCTGTCTAATTAGTCCATCACTAGCTGTGGTTTACCTACTTCACGCCGCTGGCGAGTATTGTATTTTGTTGATGTTATAAAGATTACAATTTCATTTTCAACCTTCGTTTTGATTACTCCTCATTCAGCAACCCATTCTAGGTTACAACAAATATCATGCTTTACAATTACTTTCCTGATCTCATATTGCAACTATTTCACATCAAGGATTTCAACATTTCAGCTTTTCCAATGCTCCATTTCTATCTGGGGTTTTCAAAAGAACCCATGAAATCCTATCTCACATTCCTTTCAACTACTAAGAGTGAAACTTTAGTGTTACAGGAATCCCTTCCGATTTATTGCCTCCCTGCCAACTACAATCTTTAAAGACTTAAATGCAACAACCACCGCCAGCTTTTGTCTTCCTAATAACCGTTCTTTTATTGCCCTTTCTCTTCACTTGCGTCTTCTTATAATCTTTATCATCTTCAGTAACCTCTTGCGTCGTAGTGACATTATCGTAAAATTAATTAAAAAAAAAATCGAAATTCGAAGTATTCTAGAAAGTTTTAACATTGTCTGAAAACCTAATATAAAGCGCCAATCTTGAGGCCTCAAGCAGATGTCTCCGCCCCGGGCATCGAGACATAAAGACCCGACCAGCGTCCGCCATCTTCCTCGCCCGTTCGTTTTGCCCCTTTGGCCAGCGTAAAAGAAAAGTCTAAAGAATTTTGTACAAAACGAAATAAGCTTACGGCCATAGAAACACCGATTATCGTACGATCATCGAATTTAACCATTTGATCCCGGACCACCGCTTTACGAGTGTTAGAGAAAAAATGACGTAATACCCAGCTACCGGTTGAGCGGTGGTAGAGAAAAATGATTTAATACCCACACACCGGTTGAATTGTGGTAGAGAAAAATGATGTAATACCCAGCCACCGGTTGAACAGTGGTAGACAAAAATGATGTAATACCCAGCAACCGGTTGAACAGTGGTAGAGAAAAATGATGTAATACCCAGCCACCGGTTGAACAGTGGTAGAGAAAAATGATGTAATACCCAGCCACCGGCTGAACGGTGGTAGAGAAAAATGATGTAATACCCACCCACCGGTTGAATTGTGGTAGGGAAAATGATGTAATACCCAGCCACCGGTTGAACGGTGGTAGAGAATTATGACTTTCTGCCCAGCCACCGGTTGAACAGTGGTAGAGAAAAATGATGTAATCTCCAGCCACCGGTTGAACGGTGGTAGAGAATTATGACTTTCTGCCCAGCCACCGGTTGAACGGTGGTAGAGAAAAATGACTTAATGTCCAGCCACCGGTTGAACAGTGGTAGAGAAAAATGACTTAATGCCCAGCCACCGGTTGAACAGTGGTAGAGAAAAATCACAATGTCCAGTCACCGGTTGAACGGTGGTAGAGAAAAATGACTTAATGCCCAGCCACCGGTTGAACGGTGGTAGAGAAAAATTACTTAATGCCCAGCCACCGGTTGAACGGTGGTAGAGAAAATGACTTAATGTCCAGCCACCGGTTGAACAGTGGTAGAGAAAATCGTCCAGTCACCGGTTGAACGGGTGGAAGAAAAAGGACTTAATGCCCAGCCACCGGTTGAACAGTGGTAGAGAAAAATCACAATGTCCAGTCACCGGTTGAACGGTGGATAAATTCCGGTTGAACGGTGGGTAAAAACTATTTTTATATCTGGCGTGAAACATTATATTCCAATTATTTGCGAATTTTGATTCAGGAGCTCAGCAGAAGTATTGAAATTGTGCAGGAACGTAGGGCTCAAAGGGTTAAGCAACGTCTAGCCTGGGTAGAATCTACATGGGTGACCGCTTGGGAAGTCAGAGAGCCGAGTTCGAATGCCTGAACGGTTCATTACATTGAAATACGCACAAAGGCATGAATTCATACCCCACCTCCAAAAAAAGAAATCTATTGGTTTTAGGTCAGGTGAACGTGGTGGCCATTCAATGCTGGCTCTTCTTCCGAACCAACGCTGTGGAAAGGTTTGGTTAAGGTAGTTCCTTACTGTCAAAATATAATGGGGAGGTGCTCCATCTCGCTAAAAGAACAGTTCAGCAGGGTTAGCTTTGGTTCTGAGCTGCAGCACTAGCACATCACGAATTTTATTTTGAACCTAGTTTTGATCCACCCTATATGTTTCGGCTTTAAATAATCTAGAAAAATTTGAAAAACAAAATAATAAGGACCAAGTGACACCATGTTTACCTCGGCAGCAACATCGAGTCAACGGAGAGAGACATCAAAATCCGCGAAGGCAAGGTCTGGGGTGTCCTTGATGGCCTGAGCACCATCTGGAAGTCTCCTTCTCTGACAAGGCCACGGTAGAATTTGTCTTTCTCTACGGTTGACGAGACATCCAGAAGCATCACTTGACGTAACATACACAAGAATGTTGCGAGTTGCAGCTGGAAGACACACCCAACAAAGAAACGCCTGTATGGACACGTTCCTTCCATCTCAGTTTTGCTGAGAGAGAGAGAAGGCTTCGGCTGGCTGGTCACTCCTGGAGAACGAAGTCAGAACATGCGAATGACACCCTCCTATGGAACGTATTGCGCGGCAAAAGATAGGTTGGAAGACCTCATCACACCTACATTGACCGACGTGTACATGACTCTGGATGCCATCTGGAAGATCTGCCGACAGAGATACTTGGAAGGAACGAGTCAAGAGAATTCGAGAAGAATTGTCGACCGGATGGGATATATATATATAACACCATTCGATTTCTGTCTATATTTCTGAGATGAGGTATTATGTACATTATTTACATTATTCGGATTATTGTCCTCATCTTCGTCGCCATATTTATTACAACGTTTCGGCCGTTATACCCTCCGGCTTTCTTCAGGTGGTTAGAATGTCGAACTGAACCCTTTATTTCACTCACTGGGGTAGACTGTTCTAGTTCCACGTGCCATATTTAATAGATGTCAGTTATCAGTTATCTCCTGGAGAACTTTCAGAGGGAAATTAACCAGGTTATCAATGATTATATGTAGTGGGTAATTGTTTTTGTCCACCCGTAAAAAATTTCTAATAAATAATGATTACTCTATTCTTCAAATTGAGCCCTCTTTTGAATTAATGCTGTGAAGGTAAGAAGTTACATTATTTACGTCCTCCTTAAATTTGTCCTTAATGACACATGGCACAGTGGATAAAGACGTTGGTTAGATCCAGTGACAGGACCCAAAGAGTGTGAGTTCAATACCCGGTTAAGGCAGTGGAGAACTTTTCGAGGGAAATTAACAAGCTCTTACGCAGACGTCACTTGTATTTGCTCCTGCCTCAATAGTAAATCCGGTATTGCTAACAAAATTAAACTGGCCGTTAATCTTGGAATGGAGATCCAATCTCATGGTTGATAGGAGCAAGAAATAACTTGAAAATTTCAAAACTGCTCTTATTTGCCCACCATAGAGAACCCTCCCTGCCTCTTATCAACATGTCTGATGCTCAACTTCACGAGAGCATCTCCTTACGCCCTTCTTGATCTCATTTTCCACTAACCTGTGGTGGAACAATGACATTGAATCAATAGCTACATCTACCTCAAGAAAGTTTGGTTCTATATGTCGCGCCCGAAGGTGGTTCTCGCCTGTGTCCCTCATTCAAATCTACCATTCGTCCTTGCACTGAATACTGTTGTCATATATAGTTTTGTGCTCCCGCTGTTCATCTCGAGGTCCTCGACAAAATTCAGAGACGGATCTGCAATGTGATAGATCCTGCCATGGCATCTCGTCTACAGTCACTTTCTCACAGACGTGATGTGGCTTCCCTCTGCAAATATTTTCTTTGCATCATTTTCACTGGTACCCCAACTGCATGAATTTAAGCGTGCTACTAGTTTGGCATCTCGGTCCCACTCTTTCACTGTCGAAACGGTTAAATATAACCGTCTCTTCTACTCCAACAGCTTCTTATCTCGCACTTCTCGACAGTGGAACTCCCTTCCACTTACTTGCTTCCCTGATATCTATAATCGTCAAAAAATTAAATGTAATGTCAATCGACATCTTCTGATGTGTTGATCGTGAGCACGTCTTTCTTTTTGTCCTTTCCTCAAATACCCCTATTTAATCTTAGTTTAACTCTAAGCTAATGGCACGCCAGGCCTTGTTTGGGGTGAAACACTTAAAATAAAAAATAAAAAAATCAGCTAAGTGCCAAAACTTTTTATTATATTAATCATACACAGTGCAAACTCGGTTTTTCGAACGTCTCACATGCCGAACAAATCGGTTTTCGAACAGACAATTCGAGATGAAAATACCTCGGTTATCGAACAAAATTTCGGTTCTCGAACAACATTGAGGAACCGAGTTAACCCGAACGGAATCATTTCTGAGTCGACAGCCGTGTTGTATGCATTCGTTTTTTCGGGGCGTGCTTTTGTTTTTATCAATTTTATTGAAATGTGATTTTTGTTTCGATACATTAAATTTATTTGAAAAATAGTTCCGGTTTCCGAACAATTCGGGTTCCGAACGTGTTAATTTCGTGAAACGAGGTTTCACTGCATATATATATATATATATATATATATATATATATATATATATATAATAAAGAAAGAACAGTAAGATATATAATCCGGTGTTCTTATAGATATTTTCATTTTTACAAAATAGTGCTCAATGTAAATTTATAGAGCATTAATATTATAAATTAATTGATTTAAAATATGTTTTTTTTTCGCTTGAGGATAAAATGTAACTAATTCTTTTTAATTTAATTACAAAAATTAAATTCGGGGCTCTTAGCTTCCATTTTTGAAACATAGTTAGAACTGTGTAGCGAAAAAAACATATTTATATATATATATATATATATATATATATATATATATATATATATATATA